GGCCTAGCTTCAAAGCCCGTGGTCGCTTGGCAACAGATTCGTCTAATGGGCTTCTCCAGAACGGCGTGGTCTCACAAGCAGATGCAAAGCAAGTCAGACTTAGGGTTTAGGGTTTAGGGTTTAGGGTTTAGGGTTCAGGGTTTAGGGTTCAGGGTTCAGGATTTAGGGACCTCTAGGGGGTACCTGGAAGAGGATGCCCAGGCAAAAGTCTACATCTGAACCACTCCTGCACCTCAACAAGTTCGCGCCCATCTCCTCCCTATAAGACTAAGGTGTCTTGTGCGGGGAGGAGGCAAGCATTCGAGGGGGGCGGGGGGGGGGGGGGGGGGAGGGGAAACCCCAAACCCCAGACCTCAAACCCTAAACCCCAAACCCCAAACCCTAAACCCTAAACCCCGAACCCCAAACCCCAAACCCCAAACCCTAAACCCTAAACCCTAAACCCTACACAACCCTGCAACCCTACAACCCCTTGAACCCTGCCTTTCCCAGTAATTTAGGCACCCTCATCAGCCTGTTGCCAAGGTTCGGCCCAGGGGAAGGCCGTGAGCTGTCTGACTGGCCTTGCTCCTTAGAAAACGCTTGCGAGAAGCCCCAGGAGCTCCTTCAAAAGGACCTGCTGCCGATTCGCAGCTCCTTGTGCGGCGTTCCTGTTGCTCCATTTTTGTGTTTTGGCCGTGTAGGTTTTAATCGCTCAACCCCTAAAACCTCCCAAAGGAATGGCAAGTAGTGGCTAATTCCTGGCCATTAGAAGCAACAGATGAACATGCTTCTGGAACGAAAGCAGAAATAGTTCACCTGTTTGGCTGCACTGCAAGCTTGCAGTTCTGATTCCTCATTGCAAAAGAGATGTTTAAGGTTTAGTTTGCCCAAACTTGTCTCACACGGTTTCTCAAAAATCAACGCCGCCTGAGCATCCACGAGCCCTGCGGCATCCCTAAACCCTAAAACCTTAACCGAGAAGAGTGCCAGCCACTCAGAAACTCCCGTAGAGTAAGAACTTTCCTTAAAATCGACTAAAGCGTCCACGTTAGGGGGGGGGGGGGTTCGAAACAACCGAGTGCCCTCATGGGGCCATGGCGGTTGTATATGCATAAATAAATAAACAAATACATAAATAAATACATAAATAAATATGCATATATATATATACATATATGCATATTATATATATATATATATACAAATAAAGGCGGACCGACTTTTTGAAAAAAATCTAAATCTCTCTTGAGGACTCTTGCCTTCCTAAAAAGGTATTGGAATCTCTGCACTCTTGCATACCGCGCGCTGCAGCGGGTGAAGGACAGGGTTGCGGGATCTGGCATGCCGCACCGGTGCCGGCGCAATACAGAAGATTTATGCCACAGCAACCTCAACGTCCGAATTAATGCTGCCGCCTGCACTACCTGAACCGGCGACAGGCTGGCTTGCTGGCAACTTTCCGAACTTTCTCAGAACATGTTTAGGGTTTAGGGTTTAGGGTTTTCTGGGGTTTGTACCTAGGGCTCTTAAGGTGCTACCCTTGGGCTTTGGGGACCCGTTTTGGAGATTCTTCAGGTAGTAGAAGGGCCATACTAGGGAGTATCTTATGGGGAACCTTTACTACTATTTGCTTAAGAAGCCCCCCCCCCCCCCCCCAAAAAAAAAAAAAAACACAATCACACACACACACACACAAAATAATAATCCCTATATTGCCCTTGTCAGGAAGAATGTTATGTTTTTTGGGGGTTCTTAAGCAATTCGTAATTTAGGGGTGAAACCTTACAGGTACGAGTCTTAATCCCTTGAATAATGCCGAAAACAAGTCAAGCTATAGCTGGAAGCTTCGACAGCGGAGACGAATTACACTAGGGTTTAGGGTTTCGTGTTTAGGGTTTAGAGATATTTAGGGTTTCGGATGTTTAGGGTTTAGGGTTTAGGGTGTTGAACCTGTGCTACCCTTAGAACCCTGATGAAACAGGTTGTGCCTACCGATGTCTGTTATGTCAAGTATAGCTTACCTCTATGAATCTCTCTCTCTTGGGTTTTATGCGACCGAACATAGAAGAACACAGTTGGTACGAAGACCCTGAACCCTAAACCCGAAACCCTAAATCTGATATTCAAGGAGGAACCCGCCCAAACTGGGTTTAGAGCTCAGGGTAGTAGGGCTAGGGTTCCGGATGTAGAGGGTTTAGGGTTAGGGTTTAGGGTGTAGGGTGTAGGGTTTAGGGTTTAGGGTTTAGGGTTTAGGGGATAGAATTGGGGGCTGCAAAAAACTTCGGCCAAGCGCGTAGCAAGCCGGAGCTTGTGGGACCGATGCCCTCTTCAGCTCACGCTAAGCAGCGGGGAGATCCTGAGCTGGGTTGGGTTTAGGGTTTAGGGTTTAGGGTTTAGGGTTTAGGGTTTAGGGTTTAGGGTTTAGGGTTTAGGGTTTAGGGTTTAGGGTTTAGGGTTTAGGGTTCAGGGTTACGGGTTTACGGGGTTCAGGGTTTAGGGTTTACGGTTCAGGGTTCAGGGTTTAGGGTTTTAGGGTTTAGACTTTAGGTTTTCTTGCCACCTGCCTAGCAGCCTCGCCACAACACTGCAGAGATGCAAACGTCCGTCAGTCAGAACTTGTCGGAGAATTAACTACTTGGAAAAAGCTTCAAGTGTCATGTTCTATGTGGTCACCGTAGGAGCTTGATGATTTATGCCACCAAACCATAAAAACCGGACCCTAAACCCTAAACCCTAAAAACCCTAAAAACCCTAAAAACCCTAAAAAACCCTAAAAACCCTAAACCCTGAACCCTAAACCCTAAGCCCTGCCTCAAGACTAAAGGACCTCACCAAGCGAGGCCAACTGTGAACTGTGGGACACGACCATCCCAAGGGAATCGACCCTATGCCTCAACTCACAATCCAGTTTAGGGTTTAGGGTTTAGGGTTTAGGGTTTAGGGTTTAGGGTTTAGGGTTTAGGGTTTAGGGTTTAGGGTTTAGGGTTTAGGGTTTAGGGTTTAGGGTTTAGGGTTTAGGGGCTAGGGGCTAGGGGTTAGGGTCTAGGTGTGGGTTTGAGGGTTAAACTTGGGTTTCGGGTTTCAAGGTTCAGGGGAAGGCATGCCCAAAACGGAAACATCCACAATACATGTTCCTGATGTGCTGAACTGGGCTGTAGTCCACCATGCTAGCTGCAGCCTATGCTGTGCATGCACGAGTGAACGTGAAGATGCCGCGCGCGAGAAGATGATAGCAAAGAGGGCCGAAGCATAACGCTGAGACCGTTAGCCCTAAAGCGTAAACCCTAAGCCCAAAGCCCTAAACCCTAAACCTTAAAGCCCAACGCCTTAAACCCCAAACCCCAATCCCCAATCCCCAAAGCCCAAAGCCTAAACCCTAAACCCTAAGCCTAAGCCCAAGCCCGAAGATCTAAGCCCTAAACCCTAGACCCTAGACCCTAAACCCGAAACCCTAAACCCTACGAGCCCTATTAGCCCTATGCTCTGATCCAAGGCCTCCTCCTTCCAGCGCTCGCAAGGCGCCCCGTAGGCCTTGGCGGCCGCAAGGATCGCAAGCTTCGGGCACACGATTTTAGGGTTTAGGGTTTAGGGTTTAGGGTGTAGGGTTTAGGGTTACCGGGGAGGGTGGTGGCCAGGGCATCGTGTGACCTCGGCAAATCGTGTGCAAGAAGTGCAAACTCTTGACGAGTTGTCCTTGCATCTTCCATTCCCACCAGTGTCTGCAAGCCGTCCCAACACTGGCTCCCAACAAGTGAAATTCGCCAAAGTCAAAACCCCCAAGCCAACACTACACGGAACAGAGCAGAAGCGCAAAACTGAACCCTAACACCCTAACACCCCGAATCGTGAAGCTCCTGCACTTTCCAGCCTCCTCAACCCTAAACCCTAAACCCTAAACCCTTTTACCACCCCGAGCCCCGAGAAGAAGGAATGCCTGTTCAACGTCATGAGGCTTAACATGTCCCTTGAACTCCCGATTCTCCCATGGAGGGACCCTAAACCCTAAACCCTAAACCCTAAACCCTAAACCCTAAACCCTAAACCCCCTAAAGGTTTCTTCCCCCCCCCCCCCACCACCCTCCCTTCACTCCCGAAGTCTCAAACCCGCAAGTTCCAACCCTGAAAAAGCCCCACCAGGATGGGTTAACATACCCGGGTTTAGGGTTTAGGGTTTAGGGTTTAGGGTTTAGGGTTTAGGGTTTAGGGTTTGGGGCTTGCAACAGGCCCTCTATTCTAAGGGGTTGACTATGGGGATTCTAAGGCCTAAGAGCCCATCCTGGCAGTGATACCTTAAGGCAGGGCGGGTTGATGGATGTCATTCGCGCGGCTGCCCAGCGCACCAAGAAAGTCGGAGTGGCGCAGGAAGTAGGCGCAGCCTGGACCCCCTAAACCCTAAACCCTAAACCCTAAACCCGAAACCCGAAACCCTGGACCCTAAACCCTAAACCCTAAATCCTCAACTCTAAACCCTAAACCCTAACCCAACTTTGAGAAAAGCCTATGTAAGCCGAGCTCGCAAGAATCGAGCCTTCGGATACAGGTTTCTGAGCAGTTTCTAAGCAAGAACACATCGAAAGATGTCAAACATTATGGGCGGCCGGAAGTGGGTAGTTGGAGACCACGTTTCGCGCTTTGTGCTTAGGGCTTCTCCGTGCTGATGGCCTTGCAGGTTGCGAAAGTTCGCCGCGATGGCCTGGCCGGCAACTGAGAGCAGCTTGTCTTGGTAGCCCAGTAACCATCTTGTACAAAAGGTAGTAGTTTGAATAATAATAATCATAATCATTATAGTAGAAAAACTCTTTTAAAAGATCACAATCACGTTCAGTAACAATCTTGTGTTAATGACGGTAGTTTGAATAATAACATTAATAATAATAATAATAGTATTATTAAAAACATCATAATCATAATAATAATAATACTCATAATCATAATCATAGTATTATTAATAAAAAAATCATATTCATAAAAATAGTCTAATTTTATATTTTTTATCATAAGCACTTGATCGACCAAAGCTACAGAGGGGCAGGGACCTGCCGCCGTCTGAAAGAAAACTTGCTCTGTTCACTGTTGACTTCTTCCCCCTAACATTAAACTCCCCCCTAGGGTTTAGGGTTTAGGGTTTAGGGTTAAATACACCCTAGTAAGGTTATATTACAGTCTACGCGGGGGTATTTAGAATTAGGGGGTAGGGGATAAATAGCTTCTCGGGGTGAAGCAGCTCTGGCAAGATCAAGGCTTGGAAACAACTGTGGGCCAGCAGGGAGAACACATGTTCCAACATGTTCCGATACTGAACTTGGAACCCGAGCAAAAATTGTAATTCTAGCTGTTGCTCTTAGTAATTAATAGTACCCAAAAACGCTAAAGCCTAAACCCTATCTTCCATTATCCCTAGGGTTCCGCCTTGCGCGCAATCCAGTTCTTCTCGTCCACGAAGCCTCCGGCGAAGAACACCCTGCAAGGGCATCGTATTCTCAGGACACGTGGACCGATTCTGCATAATTCCAGGCAACACTTCCACCCTAAACCCGAAACCCTAAACCTTAAACCCTAAACCTTAAACCCTAAAACCCTAAACTCCTAAACCCATGAACCCTAAACCGAAGCAACTTAGCCCGGGACCGATCAATGCAGCCCGCCATCTTCGCGTGTGCGGAAGCCAGAAGGACAGATTGCTGCGTGACCATTTGCAACAGAGATCGGGCCAAATCTCGCTCCTTGGTCCGGTATAGGGTTTAGGGTTTAGGGTTTAGGGCTTAGGGACAGGGATCTGGCCAAATCTCGCTCCTGGGTCCGTCATAGATTCTGGACTTAAACCCTAAGGTGACCCTAAACCCGAAACCCTAAACCCTTTGCCCATGTCAGCCCCATACCCTAAATCCCACAACCCTGGTCGCGCCTATGGGAAGCAAACTTTGCCTGTCCTTTACTCCTCACCGTTGGGCAAAAGCGTTTGCGGCAGGCCGGGAAGTTTAGGGTTTAGGGTTTAGTTTAGGGTTTATGCTGCTCGTAGGAGATTCGTCGTCAGGCATAACGTTTCATGCGCGAGCCCGGCGGAAGCTGTCCTCAAAAAGCGTCTACCCCTCGCCATGCGTCTTCGCTCCCTGACCCGACAGCCCCGAAGCTAGTCTTCCAAAGCATTCCAGATGTGCTCTCGCGCAAAAAACTCTTGATAGCCATCTTATCATAATGAGGGCACCCTTTTCTTGGTAGGTTGCTTGAGAAGGGCGCCTTGAACCAAAAAAAGGTAAAGGATACGGCTGGGCGACCAAGAAAAAGCACCTTCAAGAAGCGTCTTCAAAAGGGGAGGGTAGGACGTAGCAGCATCCAACACCCGAAACCCAGAGGGATAAACAGACTAAACCCCCTAAACCCCCTAAACCCCCTAAACTCCCGGAACCCCCTAAACCCTAAACCCTACAACCCCTAAACCTTACACCCTAATCTCCGAACTCCGAACTCCGAAACTGGGCAAAGGCCAGTGGCTGAGCATTTTGCTTCACTCATCTCGCCAAGCTTTCCGAAGTTCCTTGCACAATTGAGAGTGACTTAGGCTTGTTAGGGTTGGGGTTTATAGGGTTTAGGGTTTATAGGGTATAGGGTTTAGGGACTTGGGCTTGCGGCACGAGCAGCTTGCCTTGGCAAGTTTTGGGGGTGTAGGGCGGCGAGCTTTAAAGCCCAAAACGCCCTAAATGCACTCAGCCCCGACATACCAAAACCCTGATCCCTCCAAACCCCATATCCTAACCCCATACAGAAACCCTGGAAAAACCCTAGAAACATGTAAACCCCTAAATCTCAAATCCTGTAAACCCTAAAGCAATACCTAATCCTTAATGTCCCAAGTGGGCAAATTTGCCTAATTCGTGTGCCATAGTTGCCTAATTCGTGGGCGGCGGGCGACTGCAAATTTGGCAAAAATGGCCTGACTCGTAGGCAGCCCTCCCTTCCCACCCCTCCCGACAAACAAAAGTTTCTTGGTGCTATGGGGTCCCAAGGGTGGATGTAGATATTCGATACCAGGGCAGCGATCTTGGCGAGCGAATGCTTGGTGCACCCAAAACCCTACCTAAACCCTAAACCCTGAACCCTGAACCCTGAACCCTAAACCCTGAACCCTAAACCCTAAACCCTAAACCCTAAACCCTAAACCCATATGAACCTCAGCCACGGCACGAGGCTGTGAGGTTGCCAGGCAAGCCCAGGGTCAGGCAACCTCACGACTGGGGGTTTCAGGGTTTCGGTTACCTTTTCGGCATGTAGGGTTTAGGGTTTAGGGTTTAGGGTTTAGGGTTTAGGGTTTAGGGTTTAGGGTTTAGGGTTTAGGGTTTAGGGTTTAGGGTTGTTTAGGGCTGACCTTGAAGTTCTCGGTTTCAGGCATTCAGGCTTTGCAGTTTAGCGCCAAAATTATCCCCGAACACCATGAGGTTGAAAAGTCTGGGTGAAGGACAGGTTCAAGGGGTCCTAAACCCCAAACCCTAAACCCGAAACCCTAAACCCTAAACCCTAAGAAAACTTAGGGATTGCCACGGAGCCGTCTTCCCCATAGATGTCGCTGACGAGCTTGTCCTGCGCATGACCCACGAGGGTTTAGGGTTTAGGGAAGTGAACCCCCCCCCCCACCCTGCCCTCCCACGGGGGCCTTGAGCCTCGACCCAAAAGGTAGCTCAGACAAGGCTTACGCCTCAAAGTGACAGGTAGGGTGTCCAAAGTAGCCCTAAACCCTAAACCCTAAACCCTGAACCCTAAACCCTGAACCCTGAACGCTGAACGCTGAACCCTGAACCCTGAACCCTGAACCCTGAACCCTAACCCTCAACCCTACACCCGAAACCCTAAACCCTAAACCCATCCCTGAATCTTCTCTCTCAGAGCCCTGTTAACTCAAGCAGGGGATCCGCATTCTGCGCGTTGCCGTCCGCAGCAAGGATGAGAGCCTCGCGGCCCGCAACCGAAGGGCTACACAACACAAATCGGGACTTGGGGGTTTAGGGTTTAGGGTTTAGGGTTTAGGGTTGAGGGTTGAGGGTTGAGGGTTGAGGGTTTGGGGCGGTTAGGGTTTACTGCTTTCGGAACTTACGTTGGGGTTTTTGTGGGATTCTGGGGCATGCTACCGGCTCGTAAAGCTGACAGAACACAATATGGCCCCCTTCTGGGGTACAGTAGCCTAACTCCCACAGGTTGGAAGCATACATAGGCCGAGGAACCCTAAACCCTAAAGCCTAAACCCTAAACCCTGAACCCTAAGAGCTAAAAAGCTTCAGAGTCCCTACTGAGAGCCCAAGAGTAGCCTTGACGGTTAGGGATTGAGCTGTGTGCTTCAGACTCCTACCCTAAACCCTAAACCCTAAACCCTAAATTCTAAACCCCAGACCCAAAACCCAAAACCCAAAACCCAAAACCCTGGCTCTTTGTTCCACTCACTTCACACCTCAACCCTAGCCCACCTCGTCGAAGCTCTTCGCAGAGGTAAGCATGCGTGCAAGGCCCAAGAATGAGCCTGGCTGGGCATTCCCCGCATTCCCCTAAACCCTAAACCCTACACCCTAAACCCTAAACCCTAAACCCTAAACCCTAAACCCTAAACCCTAAACCAAGAATGAGCCTGGCGGGGTATTGTAGGGCCAGGAGCTGCAGATTGAAAAATTTCTTCCTAAATCCTAATCCTTTTAGGGTTTAGGGCCAGTGTTTACCCTAAACCCTACAGCAGGGTTTAGGGTTTATGGCCAGGGTTTACCCTAAACCCTTTGGGTTTAGGGCTAGGGTTTAACTACCCTCAACCCTAAACCCTAGGGTTTAGGGCCAGGGTTTACCCTAAACCCTAGGGTTTAGGGCTGGGGTTTACCCTAAACCCTAAGCCCTAAGCCCAGATTCACTGTGCACTGAAGGTAATAGCTTCTATTCTGGCCCTAAACACCCTAGGTAACCTAGAAGACCCAAACATCTGAGCCGTGCGTATTAGGTGTTTTTTTGCCACCCGCCTAGCAGACCGGTTTAGGGTTTAGGGTTTAGGGTTTAGGGTTTAGGGTTTAGGGTTTAGGGTTTAGGGAACCCTTTGGGGGCATTCCATGGCCGACCTCCACCACAGGCTGTGCCGCCGACGCGTACGAAGTCGCCGGGAGCTGCAGAGTCCACGCGGAGGATCGAAACACCGGTTCCTGAAAGAAGGGTCTAGGGTTTAGGGTTTAGGGTTTAGGGTTTAGGGTTTAGGGTTTAGGGTTTGGGGTTTGGGGTTTGGGGTTTTGTGTTTAGGGTTGAGGAGGCTTGCCTGCAACATCTCCCGGGGAAATATCCTGTAAAGCCTAAACCCTAAACCCTAAACCCTAAACCCTAAAACCTAAACCCTAAACGGGTTGGGGTGAGCGGGTGCGACTCCCAGGGCGGTGGCGCAGCATTTGAGTACGACTGCAGTGGAGAACACACATAGCTCATAAGCTGAGGTGCCCCCTAAACCCTAAACCCTAAACCTTAAAGCCTAAAGCCTAAACCCTAAACCCGAAACCCTAAACTAAACCCTCAACCCTCAACCCAAAACCCTTTTTTAGACTGGAACTGAGGCCATCCAGCTTGTTGCCAGATCAACCCAAAACCCAAAACCCTAAACCCTAAACCCTAAGCCCTAAACCCTAAACCCTAAACCCTAAACCCTAAACCCTAAACCTGCCGGGGTCTCCAATTGGGATTTCAGAGATCGGCTGCTTGCCACGAATCGATAGATCGAATCACGAAGTGGACTCTACACTCCCCTTAGAACCTTAGAAAATATTTAATAGCCTCTTGGGATTTATATAAGCAAAAATGAAAAATAATTCCCAGGGGGATATAGTAGAGTTTGTGTGTTCTGATGGGGTTGTCTACTCCTATGCACGATAAAGATGGGGTATCCGCCAGTATCACTCGTTTGATGAAAGAATGACGAGCAACCTTCGTCCTGCTGGAATACTATAATTTCCAATCGTAACGAACTAGAATCTGAACATGTAAGATTGGACATGAAAATATCCTCAAAAACAACCAGGGAAGTGGAGTGATCCATAAAGGGGTATACAGACATATACGACCTGAACCCTAAACCCTAAACCTTAAAATAGCCGAGCTGCCCATGATGACCAAGATCATCGGAAACAGCGGCTGGGGCCATGGCTTTGTGACAGTTGCGCCATCCTCCAGGAAGCCAGCGCATAGGGCTGGGGTTTTGCACCCTAAACCCTAAACCCTAAACCCTATAACGTTTATAAACCCTAAACCCTAAACTAGGAGGAACCCGAAACCCGAAGCCCTACACCCGAAACCCTAAATCCTTAACCTTAACCCCCAAACTCTAAACCCTAAATCCTTCATGAGACTGGTACAACAGGAGGCGCACCTCAGTGATGGTGAAGATGTCTTGCTGCGTGCCATCTCCGCTGCTGCCTCCCGTGCCGTCTGTGCCTGCAGGCTTCACTCACTGACTCTGTGGACTCAGGATGACCTCACTGGTTTAGGGTTTAGGGCTGTTGTCTCGACCATGCTCTCAATCTGCTTTTTGTCCGCCTGTTGAATCAACCTATAATTTTGGGAGGACAGTCTTCTGGTATGACGGAACTGAACTGAGTTCCACCAGGACTTTCTTTTGACTCCTTCCCCCGACTTTCCATTCATTCTTACATGGTCAAGACGCTATCGGGACGTCTGAGAAAAAAGAGTTTGCAACACTAGACCAGAAAAGGGGACCACGCAATGGGTGGCGGATTGGGGCGCATCAGCCGCTTTCCCTAAGCTCACCCCGCAAGCCTAAACGGACACGATGCACGCGTGAAACCTTGCTGGGGTTTAGGGTTTGGGGTTTATAGGGTTTAGGGTTTAGGGTTTAGGGTTTGGGGTTTAGGGTTCGAGGATGTTCGAGGCTATAGGGCTCAGATGATAAGTTCCTACCCTAATTAGGCTGAAGAAATCTTGGCTGACTTCTGAACCCCTCCTCAAAGTTTAACTTTTAGGGGCTCCTTAGTTAACGTCCTAAGAGCCAGCCAGAAGAAAGCCAAGAAATGTCAACGCCATCCTCCCACCTTTTGAAATTCTAAGGCTTTGAGGCATGGAGCGCACAACTGCGCAACCTGAAAGCCCCACCTTTGCTCAGCCCCGGGCCGGTTTAGGGTTTAGGGTTTAGGGTTTAGGGTTTAGGGTTTAGGGTTTAGGGTTTAGAGCCCATACACGGCCAGTGGCCACCCGCACCCCTGAAATCTGCATGAGATGACCTGCTTGCAGGTTCATGGGTACCGTTAAGTACCCCGAGAGAAGGCAAGAACCAAATCAGAACTGCACCGACCCTTAAGCAAGCACCACTTTTCCGCCTAAACCTCCAACCCGAAACTTAAACTCAAAACCCAAAACCCAAAACCCTAGACCCTAAACCCTAAACCCTAAACCCTAAACCCTAAACCTCCAAGTGGGGCTTGCCGGGGCCTGTCAGGCACTGTGGCGGCGCCAGCAGAAGGAGCCCATCTACCATAGCAGACATCTCCCGGACAGGCTCCAGCTCCACCTCAGTTTAGGGTTTAGGGTTTAGGGTTTAGGGTTTAGGGTTTAGGGTTTAGGGTTTAGGGTTGTCGCAGGGCCTAAGTCTAAAACTAAGCCCACGATTTGGGGTGATCACGGTGATCACCTGGGGGTTGGGTTTAGGGTTTAGGGTTTAGGGTTTAGGGTTCAGGGTTCAGGGTTTAGAGTTTAGGGTTAGGGTTTAGGGTTTAGGGTTTAGGGTTTAGGGTTTAGGGTTTAGGGTTTAGGGTTTAGGGTTTAGGGTTTAGGGTTTAGGAATTAGGAATTAGGGTTTAGGGTTTAGGGTTCAGGGTTCAGGGTTTAGGGTTTAGGGTTTAGGCCCTGTGTTTACCCAATAAACGCCCTAAGCCCTAAGCCCTAACACCTGAGCCCTCTAAGCCCTACACCAAGACCCTACAAATCGGTCATCTCACTCCACCCACAAAAAATCGGTCATATCAGGACACAAGTAAGGATTGTAGGATCCACTTACCGGAGATCAGGACCGTTGCGCCACTCAACCCAAGATGCCCTAAGCCCTAAACCCTAAACCCTAAACCCTAAACCCTCAACCCATCCTGAACCCTAAACTCTTGGTGGTTTTGAAAGCAGCTGATAAGGGACCTTAAATGCCCCCAAAAGGGGCCTAGTCTGGGTGCCAGTCCAGCTCAAACAATCTGAAAGGCCGGTACCACGAACCAGTCCTAAACCCTAAACCCTAAACCCTAAACACTAAACCCTAAACTCTAAACCCTCCAACCCGCGCCCAGGCACCCGCAAGGCATCGCGAAACAGCGGCGCAAACTTACAGGCACCGCCACCCGCGGTGGCCATTCGACCTTGGGCTTTCCATGCCTCAACCCTACTTTGGGGTTTAGGGTTTAGGGTTTAGGGTTTAGGGTTTAGGGTTTAACAAACTCCAAACACCCTGAAGCCCAAAAACCCGAAAGCCTAAACCCTAAACCCTAAACCCTAAACCCTAAACCCTAAACCCTAAACCCTAAACCCTAAACCCTAAACCCTAAACCCTAAACCCTAAACCCTAAACCCTAAACCCTAAGAAACCGCGCGCCCCAAGGGCCTTAAGCTGTGGAATGGATCTTGGCGCTGTAGAGATTTCTTGGGGCTACTTAGAGGGGGTTTAGGGTTTAGGGTTTAGGGTTTAGGGTTTAGGGTTTAGGGTTTAGGGTTTGGAGTTTAGGGTTTAGGGTAGAGGTTCATGCGTACTTATAAGTAGGGTTGTAAGACCCTAAGTCAGGTTATAACCGTACTTGCCCTGCTTCTAACCCCTGATAAGTACCCATGAACCTCCAAGTATACTTCTTGCTGAAACCTTGCAAGCCCCACAAAGAACCCACATACCAACAGCAGTACTATACATGCCAAAAAAAGGACCAATGTCCTTTTGAAGACCATTTGAGGTACCCTATACCAGGCTTCTACAGTCAGCTTCTTGGGCCAGGCTGTGGATTTGTTCAGGGGCTTTGGGCTTGAACTAGCGTTTCGGGTTTCCAGGTTTTAGGGTACCTGGCCTCCGCAATCTTCAGCGGCTTCTGACGACTATGTGCCTCAGAACCCCCAAAAAAACACGAGATACCAATCCCAATATATCGCCTTTGTAAGGAAAACATGTTTGGAGGAGTTCTGGGTTTAGGGTTTAGGGTTTGGGGTTTAGGGTCTAGGGTTTAGGATTTCTGGATCATCCTACGCCGCCAAGAGGCGGTGTGGGCGGTCCGAGGCCGTGAACACCTCATCGGACCAGCTCGAAAACGTCCGCGCAAACCTTGGCGGGAAGGCTCTTTAGGGTTTTCACAAGGGTTTAGGGTTTAGGGTTTAGGGTTTGGGGTTTGGGGTTTAGGGTTTGGGGTTTAGGGTTTAGGGTTTAAGGTTTGGGGTTTGGGGTTTGGGTGTGTGTGACCCTTTGCAACCCAGGCAATAACAAGGATCACACCGGCGGCCTTGGCCCGTCAGCGTCTTCCGACTCAGCGTGCCTTTCAGCGCCAAGGATAGGTGCTGTAGGGTTTAGGGTTTAGGGTTTAGGGTCTAGGGTTTAAGGTTTCGGGTTTTGCAGACATTCGGGTTCAAAGCGTCTAAAGGCTTGGGCTCTTTAAGGTCTTTTGCTGGTAGTTGGGAAGATTTGCTTGCAACTTTGTGCCACCCATTTAGGGTGTTTTAGGCTTTTGGTTTTCAGGAATCTCGGTGTTTCAAGGTTCAGGGTTCAGAGTTTAGTTTGTAGGGTTTATAGGGTTTAGGGTTGAGGGTTTAGGGTTGCGCGACCAGGACGATGGCTGAAACTTGGCTGCGCTTGAGTTTAGGGTAGGCTGCCGCGATCCGCAAACTCTGGGCTGAGGCGAAACCCTTTTTGCTTCTTATACCCTAAGCCCTAAACCGTTTTTTGTGAACCCTAAACCAGATTTTGAACCCCTAAACCCTAAGCCCTAAGGATCATATTTTGGAACCCTAAACCCTAAACACTAAACCCGAACCTTCCCAAGGCCCGGACTGATCCGGGCACGGATCCGGCTTCTCTGGCTCCAGCATCTCAGGATCAACTGGGCTGCAGGCGGCATTTGGGAGGTTCTGCGGTTTAGGGTTTAGGGTGTAGATGTTGGTGTTGCTCTGGTCCCTTTGGGGCGGGGGGCGGGTCCGATTATAACACGGAGCCATCTCTTTAGAGTGCACAATGCCTTGGCGGGGGGTGGGGGGGGGGGGGGGTGGGGGGGGTGGGGGGGGGGTGGGGGGGGGGTGGGGGGGGGTGGGTGGGGGGGGGGGGGGGTGTGGGGGGGGTGTGGGGGGGGGTGGGGGGGGGGGGTGGGGGGGGGGGGGTGGGGGGGGGGGGTGGGGGGGGGGGGGGGGGTGGGGGGGGGTGTGGGGGGGGGTGGGGGTGGGGGTGGGGTGGGGGGGGGGGGGTGGCAGTTCACTGGATTGTGGTCGCTTTTGTGTGGGCTTGGTGGGGAGTTCGGGTTCGAGGGTTTCGGTGGGTTCACGGAATGTAGGGTCTAGGGTTTAGGGGCATTGGCCCCTTTTTTCTTCTTCTATTTTGCTATGCCTTTTTTTTGTGGGTGGGGGGGGGGGGGGGGGGGGGGGGGGGGGGGGGGGGGGGGGGTGGGGGAGTGTTACTTCTCAGAACAGAACTGTCCATGTCATTGTTGGAAACGGAATTCAGAAAACTGGCCCAAATATCTGCTTGGGGCGAAAAGTCTCAGACTTTGACCTGGGCTGGGGCCTGAAAGGGCTATGAAGGGTTTAGGGCTCATCATGCCCTACTAGTGCTTAGAAAAAAGGACGACAGGAACAACCAAAGCACAATGCACCTAACAATCCGCGGGGTTTCCGAACATTGGGGCTTGCATCAGGCTTGCGTAGTCTTGCCCTACTCCTAAACTCGGGGGGGGGGGGGGGTCCATTTTCAGGGGGGTGCCCACTGAAACATTTAGGGTTGAGAGGTTACTTGAAGGTTCACAGGTACTTCTAAGCAGGGCTATAAGTACCCTAACTAAGGTCATAACCATAGTGTACTTATAACCCTATACTTCTACGTAGCCATGAACCTCCAAGTAGGGTTTACTGTTTAGGGTTTGTGCTGCCAAGGCGCAAAGATTGGGTTCGGAGTTTCTGCGGCCGAAGTCACGCCGGCGGTCGCCCAAGTGGGCGACCGCCATCTGCAGACATGGAGCAGCCGTTTTAAAATCAGACTTGATGCAGACTGCGCACGTGGCCCTCCGTGTCTCTCCCACTTTGCCTCTCTCCCTCTCGCTCTCTCGCCCTCTGCTCTCTGCTCTCTGCTCTCTGCTCTCTGCTCTCTGCTCTCTGCTCTCTGCTCTCTGCTCTCTGCTCTCTGCTCTCTCTCTCTCTCTCTCACTCTCTCTGTCTCTCTAGCTCTCTCTCTCTCTCTCTCTCTCTCTCGCCCTCTCCCTCTCTAAAGCAGAAACCCTAACCTCTAAACCCTGTAAAGCTCCTTCTTGCTTTTCTCCTTCGCCTTTACTTTCCTCCCCATCGCTTCCCCCACACCTCCGCAGAACTGCGGCCCTGTTGCCTTATCCCCCAACCTCTTCACTCTGGCCAAAAAGCTCTCCAGCTATTCAGGCTTTAGGGTTTAAGGTTTAGGGTCTTTACCGTCACTCTCGGACAAGCCAGGCGCTAGGCGCTAGGTGTAGGGGCTTGGGGGCGTCGATTCTCGCACTAGCAAACGGCGGGCGAGGTTGTAGGGGTTAGGGTTGAGGGTTTAGGGGTTAGGGTTTAGGGTTTGGGGTTTAGGGGTTAGGGTTTAGGGCTTGGGGCTTAGAAGGCTCTGTAGCCTACTTAGGCCACCTTAGCTAGACTAGACACGTCAGACAGAACTGCATTCAAAAAGTGGATGGTGGTTGAAGACCCTTGGAGTGCCTGGAGGAGTCCCATGGGTACTTGCAAGTAGGGTTGGAAGTAGGGTACTACTAGACCCAAGAGTAACCTTATTTTGGTTGAACGCGGCTTATAAGGGAACCTCAACCCCAAAAAAAACAGAGGGGGAAGAAAGGGCCTACTCCGGGTCCTTATAGAGCTCAAGATGGGTATGAGCCCTTTTGTTGCAGCCGGCACCTTCAAGTAGGCCTGAACCCTTTTGCCCTAAACCCTAAACCCTAAACCCTAAACCCTAAACCCCAAACCCTAAACCCTAAACAAAAAACCCTAAACCGCGCGGCCTCCAGCTGCGACGTCGAACCGGAGATGAAGCGCAGGACATACTTCTTCCCCTGCGCCTCAATGGTCCTTGTTTCAATCATGGTTCCCCTACTACCCCCCTCCATAAAGGGTTTAGGGTTTAGGGTTTAGGGTTTCGGGTTTCGGGTTTAGGGCTACCCCCCCCCCCCCCCACCTGCCAGGTTCCCCCCTTAAATAACCTTAACTAGGCTTAATTCTCCTGGAATAAACCCTCTCTCTCTCTCAGGCATTCGAAACGTCAAGCCTGCCAGGGACAGCTCTCGTGGCTACCCCCGTGAAAGTGTAAGCGGGACAGTCAGAAGTGTGCGAATTACGGTGAGTAAGAGAGAGCGCATGCAGCAACAGCCAGACTACAACTTCGCAGAGAAGACCCTAGAAATGCGACGTAAGTCACGGATAGCTAAGCGCCTTAATCGTTGCTGCTCAATTAAAGCTTGCCCCTAAAACCCTAAGGCCCCCGAACCCGAACGGTCGGCTCCTGAATTAGTTTGTGCTACCCCCCTGGTTGTGGCCATGGGTGAAAGATGGGCAGTTGCCCCTCAAAATACCTGTGTCTCTCCGTCGCCGGAACATTCCGGAAGAACCAGAACAGCCTAAAACCCTCACTAGTCCTGAGCCCTAAACCCCTTCTTGCTACGGGTCTGAACCTCACTAACCCTAAACCCTAAACCCTAAGCCCTAAACCCTAAACCCTAAACCCTGACACTGAAAACATCCCTAAATCCTAAATCCGTGCTGCGCGTCATCTCCAGGTGGTTTTGCGTCCGACCGCTCGTGCCGAAACATTCCGGAAAGCGGTACCTTACTTCTCCAATAACCAAGGAGCAAAAAAGGTTAAACTTTAATATTCCTACTAAATAAGGAAACCCAAAAAGTTTAAAGTTCAACTAAAGGCGAAGTAAGGTACTGGGCGGCCTGGTGCTCAGGGAGCGCCAGCACCTGAAGCCCAGAAGGGTTATAGGGTTTTAGGGTTTCAGGGGTTTAAGGTGTTAGGGTTTTAGGGTTTTGGGTTATAGTGTCTAAGGTTATCTAGGTTTTCGGGTTTAGGGATGCAGGGATTTTGGGTGACAGGGCTTAGGGTTCTCGGTTGTCGTTTAGGGTACGTTACAGGGCTTAGGGGTCGGGAGATGGAGGAGTGCTAGGGGCTTAGGGGCCTCGCAGGGTTTAGGGTTTAGGGTTTAGGGTTCGGTTTAGGGTTTAGGGTTTAGGGTTAGGGGCTTGGAGGCCTCGGAACCTCGGCCCAGACATCAGTGGCTAGACGCCCTGATGGCAACAGCCTTTTTCAGGTTCCATGGCCTTGTACTTTTTCAGAAGCCTGCCGCAAATCAGCGAGGCAGAAAGGATGGGGTTGCTACAGCACCTAGGCGCCTGGGGCTCGAAGAAAAGTGGCGTGTATGCATATATATATATATGTGTACATAACAAAACCATTATAATGGTTTTGTTATAGTAAAGGTACCTGCAGAAGGTACAATGTGTTTCAACACCTCGACCCCCCACCCCTCCCCCCCAAACACACATATGTAGCGAGCAAGGGCGCTCGTTATCCATCCCGCTCGTGTAAAAGCATCTTGCTCTGATCTCGCCGGCTACAGAAGCCTTAAACTCTAAACCCTGAACCCCTAAACCTCTAAACCCCTAAACAACCCTGAAACCATACAACTCCAAACCGAACCCTTAATATAATGACTGCTGGCGAAGTCTCCATTTTGGCAAGGGATCCTCCAATGTCGCACCCCATGTGTCCAGGCGCATCGCCTACAGCTCTCTTCTGGAGAAGAAGACCACAATTATACAAAGAAAACCGTAACCGTACGGACCCCAAGGGGCGCGAAAAGAGAGCGTGGAAAAGCGTAGAACCCAAGAAGAAGCGTAGACGAAGTTCTGGCGTACCCACCTGAATTTACCAACAGAAACCTGGTTTTTCCGGACCGCCCTAACAAATGTCAGCGTTCTGCTTCCCTAGGTAGGGTTTAGGGTTCAGAGTTCAGGGTTCAGGGTTATTTAGGGAACCCTAAACCCTGAAACGCTTTTTCCGCCCAGGCCCCGTAGACGGGATACCCTTGACTCCTGAAAGCCTAACAGCTCCCAACTGGCCGCGGTCTGGTGATGCAAAAGGAGCCACTCCCCGGCGCCGCGCGAAATAATCTTACGATGCCCGGAAAGCTTGTCTTTCTTTGTATGGGGGTTTACGAAAATTGGGTACCCACTGGCCTAAAAAGTACAGGAACAGATGCATTAACAAAAAGCAACAAAGCACAAACCCTAAACCATCCCAAACCCCAAGCCCTTGAACTCTCTCACAAAGCTAACAACCGAAAACCCTTATATGTATACTCTTTTTACAACCTTAAACCCTAAACCCTTATAAATTAAACCTTGACACAGACTCATGAACCAAGGAAGCGCCTTAAACCCTTAAACCCCAAACTTTGAGGACCACCGGCTTTTGCCCACCCGCCCCCAAACCCTAAACCCTAAACCTTAAACCCTAAACCCTAAACCCGAAACCCTAAACCCTAAACCCCAAACCCTAAACCCTAACCCCCCCCCCCTTTTCTCGGGGCGAGCCGCGGATCTTCTGCAGCGCAGAGAGAACTGAAGAGCAGACCTTGCTTCGGCTTCTTACCTCAGCTGCACTCAGAAGGGTAGCTAAAATTAAACTGGGTTTAGGGTTTAGGGTTGGGTTTAGGGTTTAGGATTTAGGATTTAGGGTTTAGGGTTTAGGGTTTAGGGTTTAGGGTTTAGCGTTTAGGGTTTAGGGTTCCCGAGAAAGAGAGAGAGAGAGAGAGAGAGAGCGCGAGAGACAGAGAGAGAGAGAGAGAGAGAGACAGAGAGAGAGAGAGAGACGGAGAGAGAGAGGGAGAGAGAGAGAGGGAGAAGGGCGATCTGGCCGAAACACTACAGTCTGTCTCAGCTATGGGATTTTGGGCACAGGGCTTCAGCTTGAAGCTTGGGGTATTTCTGCTGCAGCTACCAAGATTAGCTGATCCAGACAAAGCATGTCCTAAACACTAAAGTCAGCGGAAAGGGCCACAAACACGGCAAAAACCCTCTGAAGAACCTTCTCAGATCAGGTTTCAGCGCTGTAGAGGTTTGGATTTATGGGCTTGGGGTGCAAATGTCCAGGCGGCCACAACTTGCTCTTCTTCGGCATCTATGCCTGAGAGGTGGCGACTGCGCTTGGACCGCTCCAGACATCTATCCCAACTAATAAACCCTAAACCCTAAACCCTAAACCCTAAACCCTAAACCCTAAACCCTAAACCCTAAACCCTAAACCCTAAACCCTAAACCCTAAACCCTAAACCCTAACCTTGCGGCGCTGAAAGCAGCTCCTAACAGAGCTTGCCTTCGAGCGAACTGATACGACGCGATGATCCCTGCCCCCAGCCCTAAACCCTAAACCCATTAGGGTTCAGTGTTTAGGGTTTAGGGTTTAGGGTTTAGGGTTTAGCACCTAATTGTCAGGACCCCCCCCCCCCCCCCCCCCCCCCCCCCCGCAAAAAAAAAGCCAACATGCCCTTACCCTCCCTGGCCCTGACTCCCTATAGGACTTCAGGCCTAAACTGTACACCGTAAACCGTAAACCCTAAACCCCAAACCCTAAACCCTAAACCCTAGGACTTCAGGGGCTTGAAAGTTAAGTTTCGCCTTACGGGTCCTGGTTGAACGCCATTGGCCTTCGGGCTGCGAGGGTGCTGCGGGTGTTTAGGGTTTGTATATTTAGGGTTTAGGGCCGTTTAGGGTTTAGGGTTTAGGGCTGGGGGTGTTTAGGGTTTGTAGGTCCAGATATAGGGTTTGAAGGAAGCTTCACAGGCTCATATCCGGACCCTACACCCCAAACCTCTCACCGCGAGCTGAGGCGCACATACTGCCAGAGCGCGTCCCCTTCCGCCCGATGTCGTAGCCTTAAAGTCTGCGCTGTAGGGGTTGGAGGTTTGGGGGGTTTAGGGTTTAGGGTTTGGGGTTTAGGGTTTGGGGTTTGGGGTTTAAGGTTTGGGGGTTTGGGGGTTTCAGGGCACCTGTCCGCCTGCGACATGCGATGCCTGCAGTCGTGGCTGGGATTTATGCACTGGCGGTTGCGCAACATCCCAAAAGCCCACAGCTCCTGTAGCTCCTTTCAGTGACGTTCTTTTTCCCGACCGAGCCTTCACAGGTTCTCAACGTTCGAACCCCTCTAAGCAACCGCTTAAAAAGCAGAGTCAGGGATTAGGTTTCGATCCGTCCTATGCGGCTTTTATAGACTTGAATGATACATGGTTTGAGCCTTCAGAAAGCCAAACCCAGAATCATGCCTTAAATCATACTAAGACTTCAATCCCTACTTTAAGTTTCTCCGATATTATGCAGCCTTTTTGGCCCTAGAGAGAGTCATTGCCCAAGTCCCAGCCACTGCGAAGGATCGACGACCTCAGCTTCAAAGGCCACTGAGTTCCCTTGCTGCGCCTACTCGAAGCTTGTTGGGGTAATTCTGCGTAGCGTTCGAAGTCCAGGGACAAACCCTAAACCCTAAACCCTAAACCCTAAACCCTAAACCCTAAACCCTAAAGTTAGAACTGCCTTGAATTGACGGTAACTTGACTACCCATGAAGCTACAAGTTCGGCAGGTTTGATAGAACCAAAAGTGCTTTCCATCAAACTTCTCCGGCCCGGCTCTGTGCCCCGTTTAGGGTTTAGGGTTTAGGGTTTAGGGCCCCGGATTGCACCCACAGCTCCAAACCCTCAACACCCCCCAACAAAAAACCGCTTTCCGAACCACCCCACAACCCGAAAAAACCCTCTTCAGCCCTCCCCACCAAACTCTCAACCCTCAACCCTAAACACTAAACCCTAAACACTAAACCCTAAACCCTGAACCCTCTTGAACCCCTAAGGCATCCGCAGCCCTCTCCCAGTGGACCCCCTAAACCCTAAACCCTAAACCCTAAACCCTAAACCCTAAACCCTAAACCCTAAACCCCCTAAGCTGCTGAGGGACAGCAATGGCCTTTCGGCGCTGGCAGCCACTTCTGCCGGGACTGGTAGGCCACGCCTAGCCGCAAGAGCCTGGACAATTCCGCAAGGTTTAGGGTTTAGGGTTTAGGGTTTAGGGTTTAGGGTTTAGGGTTTAGGGTTTAGGGTTTAGGGTTTAGGGTTTAGGGTTTAGGGTTTAGGGTTAGGGTTTAGGCCGACCCTGGCGGCGTGTTGGATGGGAAAAGGAGGTGAAAACCTCCCTCTTTCCCTCCTTACCCCCCCAAAACACGGGGGGGGGGGGGGGGGGGGGGGGGTATAGGGGGGGTCGGTGCACAATTTTTTCGTGGAGGACCGCGCCACCCGCCAAGCGTAAACAGGGGTTCAGCATGGGGGGTAGGGGCGCCCTCAGCAAAATCCGCGGTTTGCACCCCCCCCCCCCCCCCCCCCCCCCCCCACCCCCCGCCCCACCCCCCCCCCCACCCCACACCCCCCCCCACCCCCTCCCCCCCACCCCCCCACCCACCCCCCCCACCCACCTGTCTTTTTGGCTTGAGCTTGTCCTGGTGCTACCCCCTACCCCCCCCAAACGATTCACAGAACTCTGCCGGGTTGGGATGATCTTCCATGCGAGCGGGTCTCAACTATGCTCCAGCGGGGTCGGCGGCTTGAGCCGGAGGCTCTTAAATTTAGGGTTTAGGGTTTAGGGTTTAGGGTTTAGGGAGGGGCCTAGAGGGCTTTGGGGTAGAGGGCTTAGGGTTCAGGATTCTGGGTTGAGGGTTTAGGGCTTAGAAACTTAGGGTTCGGGATTCTGGGTTCAGGGTCTAGAGGGTTCAGGGACGATTCTGGGTTTAGGGTTTCTGTTGAGGTTCAGGGTGCATAAAGGGACGAACCTGTCGGGTTCAGGGTGTAGGGTTTTGAGCACCTGAAGGATTGACTGTATGACTTCCTCCGTGCCTGGGCCGCATAGAGAAGCGTACATACCCTCAAAAAAACAAGGGCCTAAATGTTGGGGGAAAGTCCCCTAAGGATATGTTGGCAAGAAATGGATCGCTTCTCATGGCCAGTTTGTTTTGAATCAGCCAGGTGACCGAAGAAACCTACAAGGGAATCGGCCCCTAAACCCTAAACCCTAAGCCCTAAACTCGAAAACTCTAAAAGCCCCAAACCCTTCAACGTCCACACGCCACGCCGACCTTCAGCTCTGGGATTGACCTTGGCGCTGCGAAGATTGCTTGAGGTTAGGGCTAGTTTAGGGTTTAGGGTTTAGGGCGTAGGGTTTGTTGTGGGAGTTTTTAGGGATCCAATGGGTTTGCAGGGGGTTGGGGTTGGCGGGGGGGGGGGGGGGGTTGTGGCGTTTAAGGCTTGGGATTTCGGGGGGGGTTGGTAATTTTTTGGCCACCCAGCCAGCAATGCCGGGCCGCTGCAGATATGGGTTTTGGGTTTAGGTTTTTGGGTGCTTGGGGGTTTGGGTTCTTTTTTGGTTTCGGGGGCTTCGGTGGCTTGTTGTCACTCGCCTAGCGAGGCGCTGCGGGGTGAACTTTGGTGGTTTGGTGCCTGTTTTGCGGGGTTTGGTGGTTCAGGCGTTCTCGGGTTTATGCGTTTAAGGATGAGGCCTTAGGGAGGAAGGCGTTGTTTCAACCAGCAAGCCATGCAGCAATTGGCTGCAAGCTACAGCATGGGCAATTCCCAGGGTTTTCGGACTAGTGCCTAAACCCTGACTTCCTAAAGCGTTCTTTGATAAAACTCTAAACCTTAAAGCCTTAAAGCCTTGAGACCTGAATCCTTAAACCCTAAAACC